AAGGAAGGAAGGAAGGAAGGAAGGACAGCCATCTCACAGCACACAATGTCAGGGCCGGGAGTGGTTAACTCCCCACTCTGACACATGCGCCCGACGCACCTGAAATTTGGGGCAGATGCCCATTCGAGTGCCAGGCAGGCCAAGTCCACGGTGGCGTAGACCAGCAGGAAGAAGATGGTAACCACGGCCGCGATGGTGTTCAGCTTCCCGGAGAACAGGACCAGCTGTGAGGGAAGCACAACAACAGAGAGAGGGTGAGGAACCGGAACAATGGCTCGGGAAGGAAGACCGCTGCAACACCACCAACTACCGACAATCAAGGCTCCATTTATTGAAAAACGTCAATGCCCGCCATCTTTCCGCGGCTTCGAAGTGGCTCACGTAAAATTTGTGAAGAAAACAAACAAAACCCAAAAATGGCAGCGAATATATTGGAACACACAAAAATACCGATTTCAGCAAAACGAGAATTTTCAGCAAAATCTGCTCGCAGTATTTTTAGCCAAAATGGTACTGGGTTACCAGTTTTGGTGACTGGGTTTAGATCGGTCTAAGGCGCTAAGGACTGGAATGGAGGGAGAAACCGTCCCTGGGCAAATGAAACTGCTGTTTAGGCCAGTGGGTTGGCTAACAAAATCAAAAAGCCAGGAGATGTTGCTTATTGTATTTATGGCGAGGAGAGGACTTTCCTAGCGTGAAACCTCTCCATCGCGGCTATCCTCATGTGAGAAAGCAAAGACTGTGACCCAGGGTTTCTGTTCACGTGTAAGGCCCTCAAATGTACCTCTCCAGAGCTGCCGTTGTTGGTGTGTTTTTGTGTGCGTGCATGTGAGGTAAACGACAACAGGGTGGAGACATGCTTCTCCCCTTATATCTGGAATAAATATAGGCCAGTGTCCTTTTTCACAGCATCTTGAAATCTGCCGGCAACTTGTACCATTTTGATTTGCTCATAAATCCAGGAAATCCATTAAAACAAGCCAAGAATGTTTATTTTCGAAAGCTGTTTTCCACTTTTTTAAATTAAAAAAACACCCCCAGCCCCATATAGCCCTTGGAAGCCCCTATGAGAGATTGTTCAGGCTACAGAGATGTTAAATCTATACATTTCTGAGGAGCGACAGAGCGATGCACTGCAAGTTGCTGGAGGATGTATTAAAAATCAGCCAGGCTCACATTTCAAAGCAGGGGCAATTCCTAGTCTCGCCCTCTCCTTGTCCTGGGGTTTGTTTTAATCTTAATTCAATAGGCATCACCAAAGCTCTTTATATTTCAAGGGAGAAACAGAAAAATCAACAAGTGGCAATCTGAAGAATACTTACTCTCCAGACGGCTGCTTTCTAAAACTGCTGTATCAAACACGACACATTTGATGAAGAAAAAAACATTGGCTTTAAAAAAAGGAAAAACCTAGCTAAAACCGGTTGTAAAAACTGAATAGCGTAGGTGGCCGAGATAAAAAGGTAGGTACTCCTGGTTTTCCTTAGTTCATCATCTATCTTAATTGTAAATAATCCCTTTCTCTTCTGTTTGTTTTCTTTTTTAAAAAAATCTGCATAAAACTTGTCAAACACCTATTTTTAAATTAGATGCCTACCGATTTGTGGGTTCCGGATTCAATTCCCAAAAGTAAAATGTCTATGATTCTGCCTCCCCTCCACCCAAGTTAAGCCCTAGGAGGAAATACATGTTTAGCCTTGAGAAAAGAAGACCGATGTGAGATAGGATGATAGCGCTTTTCGAATAGATCAAATAGGACAAACAGATCAGACACACAGTGCCGACATAAAATAAAATAAAAAAAAATTGAAAATTAAAATAACTTGTATTTGCCCACATGTCAATTCGTGGTGTGGGCCACATGTGGGACACCGTGCATAGTTCTGGTCACTATATCCCCCTTAAAAGACCATTTAAAATCTTCAAAGCATTCATAAAGGGGAAAACAAAATGGCGAGGGTGGTGCATTAAAACCACTTCCAACAAGGAAAGTTTACAGTATGTTAAGGGAGAGCGAGCCTAGACTTTGGCCATCTCATGAGAAGAGAAGACTCCCTGGAAAAGACTTTGATATTGGGAAAGTGTGAAGGCAAGAGGAGAAGGGGACGACAGAGGGCGAGATGGTTGGACGGTGTCATTGAAGCGACCAACATGAATTTGACCCAACTCCGGGAGGCAGTGGAAGGCAGGAGGGCCTGGCGTGCTCTGGTCCATGGGGTCACAAAGAGTCGGACACGACTGAACGACTAAACGAACGAACGAATCTCTTAATCTTAGAACTGCAGGGCTGGAAGGGACCCTCTGGATCATCAAACCGAGCTCCCTTCATGGAGACCCAGGGAAGAATCAAACTCCCAACCTCTAGCTCCACAGCCATTTGCCTAAACCACTGAGCTACCCAGCGCCATGTGCAAAGGTTGAACACTCACACTGTCTTTCCCAAATCACCAGCTTGTATGTGTCTTTGTGCGCATGGGTGTGTCCACCTGCCCAAAATGGGAGCAGCTGAGTCTGGGGTAAAGCATCAGCTTCGCCATCATGAACCCTAGCCTTTTCAATCCAAAGGAGGCACAGGAGCAGTGGCGGGTAGATTTGTGGTACTGGAACTACAACTCCCAGAATTCTCCAGGTAGCTCGGCCTGGGGAATTCTGGAAGTTGCTGTCCAACACAACAAATCTATCTTCCTCTGGACAGATGTTGATGGAAAAGGTACCCATAGAGTTACTGCCAGCTCCAGAGGTTGGAGAAGTTCTTTGTTGGGGACAACAACTCCCAGAAACCTCACTGCATGGGGGATGATGGGGGTTGTGCTCCGAAACAAGGAACATTCCTAAATCCTAGCTACTCCTTACTAAGCAGGACGAACCGATGCAATAAAGGAGTCTCAGAGACATATTGCATCTCCAATGCTTCCCTGCACAAGGGCACCGATCCACCTTCTTGCCATTTCTCCACCCACAGTACAGCCCAACCAAGGAGCTGGGGCTTTCCTGGGCAGCCGCGATTCCTCAAAGGCGGAGGGAGAGGAGGGATGGAATGCAGAGCTTGAGATTATTCAGTCCCATTTAAGCAATTGGGGATTTCTCGTCAGTGGTTAAGTTAATAGCGTGCGCCAAGAGGAGCGCGTGCCTGGCCACTCTAATGGAGCCTTCCCCTCCCCTCCTCCCCAGACACCCGCCTTTGATTTATAATTCATTTGGCTGCTCGTCAAGGTAAAAGAGCCACTGCTAAAAGGTACCGTGCCCCGGCATCAAGGGGGCACACAAAGACTGGAGAGTGAGGAAGGGATACGGATTGATGAGGGAGGGTCTCCTCCACGCCTGAGTAAAAGAAACTTAACAGTTCAGCGATGCAGCTCAGAAGCGGCAGACGGCAAAAGGATAAAGCTGGGTGCAAGGGGTAGTTGTTTCCCAAGGTGTCCTGGCAGGCTGTGGGATGATGGCGTTCTTTTTCCCAGCAGCGGCATCCAGATCTGAGAGCTGAACCATACACCCAACAGATAAGGTAACCTGATTTATACTAGCCGGCCAGTGAAGACGTGCCTGGCCAAGTCCCCTAAGGAAAAGGAATCCAGAGGGCTTTGTTCCTCTGTTAGCTTTTGGCTCCCCCACCAAAGGTGCCCATAACAGGGTACTGCAGCTCCTGGCTCAGCGTGAGCCAAGAGGTCAAGGTGGTTTCTCCTGAACCTGTGATGTTCAAGAGCTCCTCAGCCTGAACTCTTGCCGCTCAGCTGCACACCAAGTTCTCAGACCGCCTGATCCTGAGCATCATTTCAGCCCTGCCACCCACGATAGTGAACTGCTGCTCCCAGGTCTCGCTGCTGAGGTTCCTTTGGAAATGACATGCTCCGCTGTGCCTCGTTGATCAGCATCTACGAGCTTGAGCAATGGAGCAAAATCATGCACAGTGGTGCCTTGCTTTACGATTGCCCCGCATTACAATGAAACCGCATTACGACTATCTTTTGCGATGGCAATTGCGATCATAAAACGATGGTCTGAATAGGGGTTTTTTGCTTTGAGATGATCGGTTCCCTGCTTCGGGAACCGATTCTTCGCAAAACGACGATTTTTCAGACAGCTGATCAGCGGTTTCAAAATGGCCGCCGGGTAAATAAAATGGCTCCCCACTGTTTTCTGGGACGGATTCCTCGCAAGACAGCCACCAAAAATGGCCGTCCTATGAAGGATCTTCGCTGGACGGTGAGTTTTAAGCCCATTGGAACGCATTAAACGGGTTTTAATGCGTTTCAATGTGGTTTTTTTTCACATTACGACGTTTTTGTTCTACAGCGATTTCGCTGGAATGAATTACCGTCGTAATGCGAGGCACCACTGTACTCATTGACACTGAGCTACTTCCGTCACTTCCGGTTGCCAACTCAAGCTCTTGGCCGTGATGCTCAAACAGCTCAGAAGACAGGGTGATCATCAGCTGGGCCAGCCCCGCATCAATAAAAAGGCCAGGACCCAAGAAACGTAGAATCCTAGAATAATTGGAAGAGGCCTGTTAAGGCCACTGAGTCTGAGCCAGCCCCGCATCAATAAAAAGGCCAGGATCCAAGAAACGTAGAATCCTAGAATAATTGAGTTGGAAGAGGCCTGTAAGGCCACTGAGCCCTTTGCTCAAGGCAAGAATCCAAAGGAAAGCAGATGCTTGTCCAAGTTTCTCTTGAAATGCCACTGTTGTTGGGATGCTCACCACCTCCCCTTGAGGTCATGGGTTCCCTTGACGTACCGCTCTAACAGTTAGGAAGTTTTTCCTGATATTCAGCCAAAATCTGGCTTTCTGTCGCTTAAGCCCATGGTTGCATGCCCTGTACTCTGGGATGATTGAGAACGGATCCTGTCCCTCGTCTGTAGGACTACCTTTCAAGGATTTCAAGACTGCTATCCTCTCTTTCCTCAGTTTTCTTTTCTCAAGGCCAAACCTGCCCAGTTCTTTCAGTCTTTCCTGATCCATGGCAATTTCAACTGGGCCCAATGCCCCTGATGGATCCCCTCCTCCCCACCGCCTTCTTTCTGAGAGGACTGCAATGTTCCTTTGCCAGCTAATGGGGCAATTTTTTCTGCATTACATGTATTTGTCCAATTTGGCGAAGCGGCACAGCGCTATTGAGAGAGCAGGAGAGAGTGCACGAGAGCCAGGGGAGGGTTACTCCAGCTGATTAGCTGACGGGCGTCTCCCGGGTGCTGCGCCGCCGTCTGTCTCCGAGGCGGAGCGGCGCATCTCGCTTTGACACATCTGCACACGGCATCAGACCAATTGCTTAAAGCACTGGGGATGCCTCCAGGTGTGCTTGATATAGATCTCACGTCGGGAACGCAGGAAGAAGAACAAGGTGGAATGACGATGTGAGGCTCAAGCCTATGAGCTCGTCTGTCAAGCCCGACAAGCTGGTCACTTTTTTTCGAGTCAGTCTACCTTGCAAGGTTGTTCTGCTGAGCGTCAAGAGGAAACCCGAAAGAAAGGATTTTAAAAAATGTCATATATAAATAAACTCATGCTGTGGATCTTTCTTCCTGAGAGAGGTACCGTCGGTTCCCTCTTCTTTTAAACTTCAGGATAACGGACATGCCTCTCTATCAAGTGCCCAACTTTACAAGTGAGATGGATCCCAGCATCTCCTCAATCTGCCGTGGTCCATTCTGCAAACACCAGTAGGTTTCCAGTAAAAAATTTAAAAAGCATACCTAGTTTTGCCAAGGCAAAGAGACTGTCCCGAAACCAGAGGTTCCCTCTTCTTTTAAACTTCAGGATAAGGGACATGCCTCTCTATCAAGTGCCTGACTTTACAAGTGAGACGGATCCCAGCATCTCCTCAATCTGCCATGGTCCATTCTGCAAACATCAGTAGGTTTCCAGTAAAAAAATTTAAAAAGCATACCTAGTTTTGTCAAGGCAAAGAGACTGTCCCGAAACCAGCTAAATAAGGGAGGTGGACAGGGGACGGATTGTATTTGTCTTCAGGGTGGAAGGGATGGTCCCTCTCGAATTGGCCTTCTCAGCCACACTAGACGCTGTTCCAAGTCCTCCATACAGAGCATGCTACCATACTCTCAAAACTGAAGGGTGCTAAGAACTAACTAACCTACTTTTTAATCTGTACAATTTTTTGTTCTCCCCTTTCAACATTTGTTGTTGTTTAGTCGTTAAGTCCTGTCCGACTCTTGGTGACCCCCATGGAGCATGCCAGGCCCTCCTGTCTTCCACTGCCTCCCGGAGTTTGGTCCAATTCATGTTGGTCGCTTTGATGACACTGTCCAACCATCTCATCCTCCGTCGTCCTTTTCTCCTCTTGCCTTTACACTTTCCCAACATCAGGGTCTTTTCCAGGGAGTCTTCTCTTTCAACATAGGTTGGCTTATTATTCTGCAGTTGGTTTTACTGTATTAATTACTATTTTTAACTGTGTTTTAAATGTGGGGAAGCCTGGACATTTGCTACCAATCAGAGCCGGAACAACTAGACTCAGACACAGTTTCCTACACTCTTGTAAAGAACAAAGCTGAAGAAAGCCATTTCTTTCACTTCAACCCCCAGAGTCCCCCACTGGCCTTGCTGGGAGATTCTAGGAATCTAATCCAAGGGGAATTCCCCCCCACTTCCCTACAGTGCAAGAGAGAATGTATTCTGCTTCTGCTAAAGCAGGGGACATGCAACCTGCAGAGATCTGAGGACACAGAAAAATACCTGGCTCGGGACAGGATGGACTTGCATCATACCCACATCCAAAATATTTTCCCTCCTTAAAATGCCTTTAATAAAAAACCCAAAGAAACTCTCTCAAGCCCTCTACATACAGCCTTCATGTATGTGAAGGTTAAGACCTGGCCCAAATTCAGCATAAGGTGCTCTATCAAGGCTTTCTCCACCCTTCCCTTCTTCTTCACAGTCCAGAACATCTTAATTATTTCCTCAGTTACCGTCACCTATCTAATGGATTTATATTCATACCTCCTTTAAAAGAATCCCACAAAGAACGCCACAAGGCATAGATCTGGGGATTAAAAGCACTACTACACACCTAGAAGACCTATTTGATCTGGCAGCACCAAAGTGAGTCAAGGCCATTCACAACCTCAGAGGCTTCCTGACAGGCTGATCTGCTCATATGATCTGTGTCCTCCTTTACCAGCAACGTCCCTCTTCACAGTCCACAGGGAAAACAGGACAATGACCACACAAGGAAAACCAAGGGACATTTGACACCAGAAATGGCAAAACCCAAATGCCGGTTGGAGAATACTTCAACCTTTAATGACACCGCGATAGATCTCAGAGTGGCCATTACTAAAGAAAGCAAAGCGTGGAATTTTAAATTATAAAAGGAATTATAAATGGAGATTTTGAGAGAGGAGAAAAATTAAGTGGGCTACCTCCATCAACTTGAGTGTGCATCTAAAGGCTTACATAAAGACTGAGGCTTTTTAACTCTTGCATGGGTGGGTGTCATATTTAAAAGCTAGTTTTCCTTACAGCCATGTATGAAGACAAAATAAAAAATTATCTTGGCAAAACTCTGTCTTCAGAATCAGAAGCTGATCCAGGATTATTTCTTCCTAAAATATAATACTTTTCACTTCCAAGACAGACATAGGCTTATGCAGTAGACCATTAAAATGTGGTTGTCATCAACACTTTCAAAACTCATTATACTTGACTACCAAAATGGTCATGTAATTAACACTTTGAAAACTCAGTCCATGTGCTAATTAATGCTTTGCTACTTTGAAAATTCATTATATGTGCCAGTTCACCTCTTCATTACATCCCCACCCCGCACAAGGGATACCATGGCAGAACATTTTCACCCCATGTACCTGAGTGGGTTGTAGTCCATAATCACTCACACTGAAATAAATCTGTTAGTCATTAAGGTGTCCTAAAGCTTTCTATCTCTATTTTCTGGTTCACATACTAAACCAAACCAATCTTTGGTTCCTCTTTCACATTAACTTTGTTTCGTTTCTGCTGTTTCTTAAATTGAATTCTATTTTCATTAACTTTTCTGTGACCAGGAAAATGATTGGTGGTCATTTTTAATTTAGGGTAATTCTTTGGGTGTTTTTTTTATATTTATTTTTAATTGCAAACAAACGGAATTGTTTTGTGAAAAGGTATGGAGGTGGTGGGAAGCCATAGTGAAATGAAAAAAGAGAGCTATGATGCTGAAACATCTGGGAACTGAAGAGCTAAACTCTTGTCCAAACATTGCATGACTTCACTAGACAAGACTCTTTACCTAGACGCAGAACATTCTGAACAGCAAAAGGCGATCTTATTTATTCCAACATACTGTCAGGTTGCTTCAATCTGCCTTTAGCATTTTGGTTTGCTTTTGCTTCACAACTGGCCAAAAGGGAAATACAGTAATATGATTTTGTTTGCATCTACACATTTTCACAGGCATGTAGATCTGAAAGAAGTGCATGCCTAAAAGGACAATGTTGTCAGAGCAAAAGACATGCTACTGCCCTTACATAAGGGTCTGCAGGGATATTAGAAGGAATCGCCTGGTTAAGTCCTGCAGATCAATAACAAAACAAACTAACCCGCAAACTCAAGGAGGTGAGCAAAGTTCAGCTGTGACACTGACACATAGAATCACAGAATCATCGAGTTGGAAGAGACCACTGAGGCCATCCAGTCCAACCCCCTGCCATGCAGGAACTCCATCAAAGCACTCCCGACAGATGGCCATCCAGCCTCTGCTTTAAAAACCTCCAAAGGAGGAGACTCCACCAACCTTCGAGGCAGCCTATTTCATGGCTGGACAGCTCTAACCATCAGGAAGTTCTTCCTAATGTTCAGGTGGAATCTCTTCTCCTGTCGTTTGAAACCATTGCTCCGTGTCCGAGTCTCTGGAGCCGTGGAAAACAAACCTGTCCCTTCCTCGACATGACATCCTTTCAGATATTTAAACACGGCAATCCTGTCCCCTCTCGACCTTCTTTTTGTAAGGCTAAACATTCCCAGCTCCTTAAGCTGCTCCTCATTGGATGTGGCTTCCAGACCTTTGACCATTTTGGTCGCCCTCCTCTGGAACACGTTCCAGGTTGTCAACCTCCTTGAATTGAGGTGCCCAGAACTGGACACAAGACTCTAGCTGAGGTCTGACCAAAGCAGAATAGAGTGGAACTTGACTTTTACTTTTACAGTAGTGGCCCGCTTAGCGATGATAATCCTTTCCGGATAAATCGTCGCTATCCGGAAACATCGCTATATGGATATAAAAACCCCATAGGAACGCATTAAACTCCATTTAATGCGTTCCTATGGGGGATAAACTCACCGCTAAGCGGGAATCCTCCATAGGGCCGCCATTTTCGCCGCCTCGGTAAGCGAGGAATCGGCGTGAAAACGCTGTGGGTGGCCATTTTGTTGATCCGGTGGCCATTTTGGAACCGCCAATCAGCTGTTCTAAAACATCGCAATGCTATTTTCGCCCATTCAGAACATTGCAATGCGATTGCAAAAGCGATCGCAAAATCCGCATCGCTTTGCGGATTTGTAGTTAAACGGGGCACCCGTTATGCGAGGCACCACTGTACTTGACTTTTACTTTTCTTTGTTTTGCTTTTTATCCCATCTTGATTATAGTAACTTTTAGATTTTAATTGCTGTTTTTAAGTTGTTTATGTACAATATATTGTGAGCTGTCCTGAGTAGACATTTGTCTAGAAAGGCGGGATAAAAAAAAATCCAATAATAAATAAATAAAATAAAATAAACTATCGCTTAAGATCAATGCACGATCATCCCTCAAAGGTTTTTCTTTTCCAACAACCTGAAATGTCCATTTCTGCCGTTGGGAGCTGCTCATATCACAGACATGCCATTCTTCGAGAACTTCCACACCAAAGAATAGCACGGGAATGTCCATACTCACCTGTACGAGAATCCAGGAGAAGACCACAGCTACCCAGGGGTTCCCGCCACGGGAAGTCCGTTTTGCTGGTTTTAGGGCTTTACCTATCCCAGACATTAAAAAAAAACAAAGAGAGAGGGAGAGAACAACACATCAAACCATTTTTTACATATATTGGTATTTATATAAAAAAAGAGTATTTGGAGGATACAGGAAACATGCAGGGCCCCAGGAGAAAGCTTCCAATTATTCTATTATAGGTTCATCACATACGTATAATGGCTGCAATGTTCCATGAATTCATTGGCCTGTATTCAAGGTTTTTATTTTTAATTAAAACACATATTAGAGCGCAGCGTAACAGCACACGCTGGGCGTCACCTTAGAAGCCTTCCTTTGAGAGCAAGAAGGAGAGAGAATGAGCAGTGTCTTCTCAGGCAAGATGCCTGCTGTGACAGAGGAACACTGGTTTGAAACACAAACGATTCTGATTCTGAGGAACCTTTGTTTCTTCTCGTGTGCAAATCTAATCAAAGTGTATTTATTACAAGCTTCAGAGGAAACGGTCAATTAGGAAGCAGGGCACTGTGCCAGAACGGTGCAGATTTTTCTGTGGTGGCCCCCGTATGCTGGAACATCTTCAGAACAGAATTCTGTAATTCTTCTAGCAGTAAATCAAAATGTTTATGACTTGACCAGACATTCTAAAGTGGCTTTCTATTATCTCCATTTCCAGTCTTAGAGTTGTGCTGTTTGTCAGATTTGCAGTCATTATGAAAGATCTCATGAATCACGGTGCTATTTTTATTATACTGCGCTGCTATTACTGGAGCATGACAGGACAAAGGGGAGAGGAGAAAAGTCTTAAAATGATAATTCTGTCCTCCAGGTTTGCACCGTCAATGCTTCATCAGCACCATTAACAGCCCTAGTGAAGCCCGTGGGAGCGCCTAAAACCTTTGCTGCCCAGGTAATGTATTTTACCTGTAGATCCCATTTTAGCTCCCGCCTACTCCTGCTTTAACAGCCACGTCCCCCAAAAGGTTACCAAAACTAGTGAGCAAAGGAGCTTCCTTAGAGGTAGGGCTGTGGCCCCGATGCAGTTGAGTTCTCTGCCGTTTTGAGCCTAGTCCATTAAAATGGGGAGAAACGCCACAGGGGGACACCCCATTCTATGCCACCCTGGCTAGAGGATTCTGAAAGTTGAAACCCAAGAAATAATCCAGTTATTTATTTATTTATTTATTTATTTATTTATTTATTTTATTTTATTTTATTTTATTTTATTTTATTTTATTTTATTTTATTTTATTTTATTTTATTTCTATCCCGCCTATCTGGTCGTA